CTCGATGTCTTTTCTATTCTTTTTTGATCCCTTTGTTAACTTATTTCGAAGCGTTGTATAACCTCTCCACCAGTAAGAATGGCTACATCATCCAAGTTTTTGCTCTTTCCAATATTTGTTACAAACTAAGAAAAAATACACTAGAAAAAGTCCTCCCAGTAAGCTTATGAAATTTGCTTTCCCTAATTAATTTAATCATCGCAATATCAACTATCAACCCTCCACATATGACATATCAGAGAGATTTCTACCTCCTAGTTCAATATTTCATGCTAACATAACTTTTTGCAAGAATTGAAAATAGCTTCTTAAAAGAAGCCTCATCACCTGTGTATTTTCTTCCGGTGTGAAAATCATTACTGCCTTTTTTTTTTTTTTTTAATGAAGTTGGGATCTGAATTTTGATGTTATATTTGTTAATTCTAAATAATAATAACACTTGGAGAATCTTATGTACTGTAGACAAGTTGTCTGATTGAAATGCTAATTTATGCTGGTAAGGGCGCTCGGGTAGAAACTTCAGAGCTATGAGCTTCTGTGAGTATATGTATACTGTATGTGTATGTATTCTCTGTATAGATTTCAAATGTATTGTTTCGAGTAGGAATGTGGAGTTTAGGAAATGGGATCAGGTGAAGTCCGTATGATGACAACATGTTTTGAAGACAATTCTATAAAATTATGTGAATACTGCAAACTTTTGCTTGTGTTGTCCTTGGTCCCTGGGGCCCAAATTCGATCTCTTATCCTCAGCAAAACTTAAATTCTTTTTATCTTTTAATATGCTCTATCTGATTCTATCAGATTAATACTCGAAAGTTTGAGATTGATGACGATATGTTTTGGAAAGATGGGAAGCCTTTTCATATAATTGGTGGTGACTTGCACTATTTCCGGATTCTTCCTGAGGTATTTCTATTGGCTGTCTTTCTCTGAGAAGTTAGTTTTATAGTTTAAAGATTGTGTCAATAATGAGCACTCTGCAACTACATTAATGTTATGGAATTATTGTTTTGGCTTGGATTCAAAGAGAACTCCATTATTTATGAGGGAAGGTGCGATCAGTTTTAGAAAAAAAAGGTGGTTATTAGGATATAGAACAGTGAAAATCTTGGATGTTTTGTTCCTCATTGCAGAATTTGCATGTATGTTATTCAATTGCCATTTTGAAGAAAACAATGAAGTAAGGAAGATTCTCGATTCTAAGGTTTTCAATCCATATCCCATATGGTGATTGGTTGCTAATCTGTGCATATAGATGGTTGTTTTCTTGTTTTTGTACATTAATTAAAGGTTTTTTTGGTTGTGAACTTGTGATATGGTGGTGTTGTGCGTATGAGTGCAGTATTGGGAAGATAGACTTTTGAGAGCAAAGGCATTGGGCTTGAATGCCATCCAAACTTATGTTCCTTGGAATTTGCATGAACCAAATCCTGGCAAGCTGGTTTTTGAAGGTATTGCAGATTTGGAATCATTTCTCAAGCTCTGCCAGAAGCTTGACCTTCTAGTTCTGCTTCGAGCTGGGCCTTATATATGTGGAGGTTGGTCTTATTATTATATTGTCCGGCTTCAAGCTAGTCTCTAATTGTTGGTGCTGATGATGATAATGGCTTTCTTTGTGAAATCTGTTTTTAACAGAGTGGGATTTGGGAGGGTTCCCAGCTTGGTTACTTGCCATAGAACCAGCTCTCAGACTACGGTCATCTGATCCAGCTTACCTTCAATTAGTATGTTCTCATTTAGTTTTTTATTTTCATTTGTGTGTAAGGAACATTAAGGGAGTTCAATACTTCAATGTGTAAAAGAAGTTGCTTCTTTGCATTCTCAACATACATGCTTTGTCATTCTCACAGTGCTCATTGGTTACAATCTTTTTGGATGCACCAATTCTTATGCTCAATTTGCTGGATTAATGTTACAGGTTGAAAGATGGTGGGGTATATTACTTCCAAAAGTTGCCCCTCTTCTTTATGGCAATGGAGGTCCTATAGTAATGGTTCAGGTGCAGTAATATCTTACTTGTTGCATAATATATGACTATGTAAATTTCTGTTTGCATTTCTCTAATCAAACAAAAATGTTACTCAATGGAGAGAGGGCTAATATCATATGTAAGATAACAACTCCATTCCTATCCATCAGATCATCTTTTTCTCTCACTTTTTGTCGGATAATAAACAGTTGGCATGAGAAATGCACTTCCTCTTCATTATTCCCTTACTCATGGTCTTTGAACATATGGGCAAAGTAATATTCCATTTCTAATTTTCTATCCTCCTATTTCCTTCCAAAGTTCTGTCCTATTAAATGAGGCATTTCATGCATAGAATTAAATGCCAAATTTTCTCAAGTTTTCTGATTTTATTTAAGTAAATTTAAACCAAAATGACTTATGTTTACAATTTTACAGATAGAAAATGAATATGGCTCATATGGAGATGATAAAGCATATCTTCATCACTTAGTGATGTTGGCTAGACAACTTCTTGGGGAAGAGATTATTTTGTAAGAGGTTCTTCATCTTCAGCCTCATGTGAATAGTTATCAAAATAAAAACTTCTTGTTATCTGATGTATGCATCATGTAAGGGAATTAAATTTTGTTAAGTTGACTTGGCCTGAGATGTGAACACATGTTCAGACTTTAAGCAATGTATTAATAAATTATTGTTTATTGTTTAGCTTGATTTAAATGAGTTTCAGGTATACCACAGATGGGGGTTCTCGGAATAATCTTGAGAAAGGAACCATTAGGGGAGATTCTGTCTTTTCAGGTAATTCTTTTTTATACAAATGTCTATTATTATTATTATTATTTATTACTTTTTAAGTTTTGAAGGCGGAAGAAGCGTTCTAATTCACAACGTAAGACATAGATATGATCCTTTCTAGCTTTCTTTCTAAGTTTTGAGTACCATGCAACATTTAAGAGTTTTCATCACTTTGCAATGTAGAAAGCTCCTATAGTTAATGTTAAAAATTTATTCTTATTGAAGCAAAGACTAAGTTAAGTACAAGGATGAGGTATTTGCTTTTGGAGAATATTAAATATTCCAATGATTTTGTGATCTAGTAATTGCTTCTCATTATAGCTGTTGACTTCTCTACTGGTGATGATCCATGGCCCATATTTGAGTTGCAAAGGGAGTTCAATGCCCCTGGAAAATCACCACCTCTTTCTTCGTAAGTGTTTTGTGATATGGCTTTTAGATTGGTTTATCAATGGTTTCAATGTCCATAATGCTAATGGTTTCTGTTTCAGGGAGTTCTATACAGGCTGGCTTACACACTGGGGTGAGAAGATTGCAGAGACAGGTGCTGATTTTACTGCAAATGCACTCAAAAGGATTTTATCACGGAATGGTTCTGCTGTACTCTATGTAGGTTCTTCAAATTCTATTTCTGATACTATCAAGTGATGGTCTGTCTGTGTGGAGATGTGATTTAGTCTTTCTAAATTCCAGATGGCACACGGTGGCACAAACTTTGGATTTTATAACGGAGCAAACACTGGTCAGGATGAATCAGACTACAAGCCCGATCTCACTTCCTATGATTATGTGAGGAATTGCTTTGCTTCTTGTATTTGTGTTATTGAACTCTATGAGATCTTTTAAGCTTCAAGCTAATGCATCTTTTCACCAGGATGCACCAATTAGAGAGTCTGGTGATGTAGATAATGCAAAGTTCAGAGGTATGATCTATGGTTTCTTTTTCTTTCATAGTCTGGATAAATGGTTGTCATATTTGGTAATTTCATTTTTTATTATGAACCTCTGGGTATGATGAATATCCTAGACTAAAGCATGCATGTTAAGTGGATTTTGGTCATGGATGTACTTGCTCAATGATGGTGACCAATTCAATGGTTAAAAAGAAAGTCCTTGATTCAATAAATGAAGAACTTTATCTGGATTTTCAGAAAGCGTTGCATTGAAGTTCCTAAGTTTCTTGTCCTGATTTTGCTTTTGTTTTTGAATGTAAAATTATGTTTGACCAGGTAACTTGCCAGTATTAGAAGAGTTTTATAATCAAAGGAACTTAGCAGTAATCTTCCCTCCATAACCTCTATAACCATCTTGACTTCTTTTTTATGGCAGAACTGAGGTTTGAAGGAGGGAGATTAAGTTAACTTTTGAAATATACAAGAAAAATGCCTACCTGTATTCTAAAAGATTGAGTATTTCCTTACCTCTAGCTTTGGCCTATATTTGGGTGTAGTAATCACCATCTCCTCCAAGTTTGTTACGCAGTTCTACTGGGTTCCCTTTGTTAATGACTATACCATAGGCTCCTAATGTCTTCTGTTGCAAGTGATGGGTCACCACAAGATATTGTATTTAAAAATCCTGTTCTTTTTCCAGCAATCAGGAGGGTTATAGGGCAATATACTTCAACACCACTTCCTTCAGTTCCTTCCAATAAGGAAAAAGCAGGATTTGGATCTATTCAGTTTGAGAATACGGCATTTTTATTTGATTTACTGGATATGAGAGATATGGCTAATGTTGTTGAATCTGAAAACCCAGTGGCAATGGAGTCTGTGGGCCAGGTGTGTGAGAATTCATGGTCTTGGTGTTCACAAGTTTCATTCTTCAGCTTCCCCCCATGATCTAGCATTGTGAGAATTTTTGTTTTTGTTTCTTTCACATATGCAGATGTTTGGATTCCTTTTATATGTAGCCGAATATCCTTCAAAGAATGGCGGAAGTAGCCTTGTCATACCAAAGGTATATCCTAGCATTTGAGTTTATTGATTCAATTTTATATTTAGCTTTGTGGTTGCCTAGTCTTTTTAGGTTAAGGGTTCAACCACTATTTCTTGTTTATTGAATAGGCTAAATAAATATTTTCTCACAATTAATTGCTGATTGCAGGTGCATGACAGAGCTCAAGTGTTTATATCATGCCCTTCTAAAGCCAATGGTGGAGTATCATACGTTGGTAGAATTGAAAGATGGTCAAATCAAGCACTTCAACTTCCAAATGCTAAATGTGTCTCTAATATCAGCTTATTTATTTTGGTAAACAACTTCCTTAGTATATAATCAATTTTGCTTTGTTTGAAATGTTTTTGGTAATTAGGTTCTTTTGGTGCTGAATAATAATAACAAATATTATTATTTTACCAAGCTTGATATTCAAAAAGAGCTAAACAGCTTTAGCTTCTTTCTTTACTTTATGCTCCATTTATGTTTTTCACTTGAAATACAGAAAATTATTTGGAAAATCTCTATACTAATAAGTGGTTTCTATGAAAGATCAAATACAAAGTGGAAGGTTTGGAATTAATGAGCTCTGTACTCACACACATACATAGACTCTGTATGGTTGAATACAAGGTTTCTCTAAATTTTCATTTCGATTCCCTCATATCAAATGGGTTATAATGAATCTTTCTTCTTTCTTTTTGATGCCCCAAATTCCCTTTTTGTTTTTGTTTTGATTTTCTGTCTTCATACTTGCAGGTTGAAAATATGGGTCGTGTAAATTATGGGCAATACCTGTTTGACAGAAAGGTAAAGCATAAGCCTTTTTGCTGAAATGATGTAAGATCAGTATAATGTATCAGTACCATAAGATCTTAATTCATTATCATTAAGTAAATTATCATTATTACACTTTCGATGGTGGACACAAGTATGATTGGGTTGATTGTTTTTCTTGGTTGATGTTCACACTCTTCACCAAATTAAGTGTGTTGTAAAATGTTTGAGAATTTCCTTAATTAGGCATCCAGGTAGTATAAATATATCTCAAAAGTTATTTTATTGCTTAGGGCCTGTTTGGTGTGGCTGGTGGGAGCTTTAGCTTTTTGAGTACTGTTATGAGTGATAAGTTTAAATTTTTATTGGAGGGAAAATAGAGCTTTAGCTTTTAGAAAGGTGAAAAAGTAAGTGAAAAGTAAGTAAAAAGAGAGTTTATGAAAAGTTTGGATTTAAAACTTTTGAGCTTTTACTGTTTAAGAGCTTTTTGAGGTTAAAAAAATATTTAAAAGTGTAAGTTTTTAAGAGGGAAATTTAAATTCATGAGACATGAATAGTGTGCAAAATCTGAAGCTCCTAGGAGCTGCACCAAACATGCCCTTAATACTCTATTTCACTGTTGATGTCTTTCACGTCAGTTTGCTACTGTTTGACTGTTCTTCTCGATTTTGATTTTCTAGGGTATTTTATCTCCTGTTTATCTAGATGGAAGTATTCTGCACTGGTGGAAAATGACTTCATTTCCTATGCAAAATCTGAATGAAGATCCAAAATTCAATCCCATCATTAAGGTTGCATCTTCTAGATTCACTAAAATAGCAGCCCGCAAGAAATTGGAATATAATTCTGGTAAGTCTCCAGATCATGTAAAAGGAGTGCTGTATTATGTAAATTGCATCCTCTTCTCCTTTTGTGCTCCTTGTTCCTCTTGGTTAGACGTGACACAGTTACTCCTTTTACCCTATTGCAAGCATGAATCACTAAATGAAGATATGAATAATAATCAAGGTTAGAAAACAATAATTTGCTAACTATTAGCTTTTGTTATCCAGGGGATGGTTCAAAAGGACCTGCATTCTATGCTGGTCGTTTCATTATTAACAAAACAAATGAAGTTAAAGATACATATTTCTCATTCAGAGGCTGGGGGAAAGGAATTGTATTCGTAAATGAATTTAACATTGGAAGATATTGGCCAGTAAGCCACTTTTTCCTTTCTTTTATGTGCATACACACAGGCTTTCTACGCCTGCCTTTTTAATTTTACTGTGATTTCATATTGTTTGACTTAAATATCTTTCACTGTGAGATCACTTTTTATTTTTCTGACTTCACTCTGAGAGACTGACTCCCTTTGCAGACGTCAGGACCACAATGCAACCTTTATGTCCCTGCTCCAATCCTTCGGCAAGGCGAAAATGTTGTGGTACGTGGTGCCTAAATCTACTGAAGTCTTTGTCTCCTACATCACATTTGAACGGTCTTAAGAAATTTATCCCTTAAGGCTGGTTGAAGATTGGGTTCTGGGAGATCTATATCTTAACCTCATAACCAAAGTAGAATTTCTGAAGATTTCCTGTTTGGCTTATTCTATGTCAAACATATTTATTCTATGGTTTGAAGTGAGGAATTCATTTATCTATTAAGGAAAAGAAATGATGGCTTAATCTTAAAAAATGTCTCTTGTTTCTTTCAGTTAATATTTTCCCCTTAACTTTAACCAGCTTTGTTCCTCACTGCATAGGTCCTACTTGAGTTAGAATCTCCAAATCCTGAGCTTGTGGTGGAATCTGTGGATAAACCAGACTTCTCGTGTGGTTCAAGCAGAGCAAGCGTGCACCAACTTTGAGCTCACCCGTTCAATGTCGTCAAACACCCAGTACAACCATGAAAATGGGGGGAGGGTAGATAACATATTGGTTGCCCTCCAATCAACTGATGCATAGAATCATTGAACTGCCAGACATGATAATATCAAACTGCGACATGAAACTTAAATTCAAATACACAGTGCTTGGTCCATTATTTCAGGTAGTTCAAATGTTGTATCAGAGTTGATATTACAATTTAAACATGGCTAACCTGCTTCCTGCAAGCTTATTGGTGTGTAATTATAAAAAATGTCATATTTTATAATAAAAAAATGTTATACGGTCGAAATATATTTATCTGCATAACTTAAACTATTAAATGAGAAATATGTCTTTTGATATTTAAAGTTATTTTATTTTTTAATGATTTTTATTTTGTAATTTAAACTACAAAATATGATTCTCTTTTATGATTATGAAGCACACAACAATGTAAGGATTAATTGAATCAATATTTTACTACCCTCAACCTTTATTTCGAGGTAGATCTCTTACTTTGCTTTACAAAGCAAAACTTCCTCCTTAAACTGAATTAAACCCAACAACCTATTGTGCTAGCTTATATGATGATTTTCTAGAAAATTGAATGGGGAAGTATAACTCTTTTGCAAATTTAAATTAATAAAAGCCTAAACAAAAGACAAATATATAACAAGATTAAGCATTAACTATTAATTAAAGAATAATACAATATAAATTCACACCCAACTTTATAGACTGTTTAGTTTAAAGGTGCACCTCCCAATTCATGAACTGGATTCAAACCCTTCTTTACCTCCCAAATTGCCCTTATTCAAAAAATATAAAAACGTACAGAGTCAAAACTATTAATTCAAAGTTTGGTTTTTCTTCAAGTTCCAACCCTAAAATTTAGTCCCTCAACTATTATATGGACTTTCAATTTAATTATTGAACTTTAAAGTCTCTATTTTGGTCCCTGAAGATTTAAATTTCATCAGGTTTTTTTTTTTTTTTTGTTCTGATGTGGGACGCAATCAGGACTGGAATACAAACTACACTTGGCATTTGCCGAGTGCAGCTAGCGTTTCCCAAAATACACATATCCTTTAAAACCGAATCTGTTTCTTCTTCCCTCACATATCTGTCTCCTTCTCCCCTCATTTCTCCCCATCTCCCATTTCCCCTCCCCTCTCTTCCCTTCCTTCCCTCCAGGAGAAAACAAAGGAAACCCCCTAACTCCAAATTTCCCATTTCAAAGAAAGCAAAAACTACCGCATCCCCGCCGGCACCGCACCCGATTTCTCACCCCCTTCCAATTCCAAACCATGCCCAACATTCCGAGAGTTGGAACAACCTCGTCGCAAGCTTGCGCAGCGTGTAAATACCAACGCAGGAAGTGCACTCCTGACTGCATTCTCGCCCCTTATTTTCCTCCCCACCGCCAACGGCAGTTCCTCAACGCCCATAAATTGTTTGGCGTCAGCAACATCACCAAGATCATCAAGAACCTCAACCTTCCCGACAAGGAAACCGCCATGCGCACCATCATGTTCCAATCCGACGCCCGCGCCAACGACCCTGTTGGCGGTTGCTACGGCATCATCTGCGAGCTCCACCGTCAGATTGAATGCAGCAAAGCTGAGCTCGAGTTGGTTCTTCATCAGCTCGCCATTTACCGCGCCTACGCTGCTCGACAACCGCCTCATGATGTCAAAGTTGAGGAAACTGCAGTTTCTGATTCTGCCATTGGTTCAAAGGAGGTTGTGGATCTTGACACTTTCTACAACTTCTACGAACTTGTTCAAGAACAGAGTACTCACGTTCAAGAACAGAGTACTCATGTTCAAGAAGATCATGTTGATACTTGGAGCGGAGAAGATTGTTCAAAAACTTCGACGTCATTCCATGTTAAGCAAATAAGCTTCGGGGATGAATGCGATGATGTGAAATTGGTTCTTGAGATGAATAAGTTTGAGGCTGAAGATATAGTGGAACAGAGGTTTGTGCCATCGGCAGAGTTGCTCTTATCATCATAACTAGATTTAATTAATAGATTTCCATATATTCATTAATCTTTTGAGTTTGAATTTGTTTAAGCCACCAGAATTAAGTCAATTCATGAACTCTGTCTGCAATTTTGAATATTTTTGGATTATGAAAGATCTTTTTGAATTATACAACAAATTTTATCCATTTGTGATATTGCATTTAACCTAGGAATTCAATTGGTAAGGTAAATATTTTTTGTTTCAGTAAAATTACATTTTCGGATCCTCTCTCTCCAATATCAAGAAAAAGTAAGATAATATAATTTTTCATCATATCTATTGGCCACATATACTACAAATTTAGATTAAGTAGGAAACCGTTCTTATGAACCTGTCATGTTACTGCTTCCCTAACGCCAGCATCTTCTCTTCTTTGATATAATCTTCAACAAATCTATCATTAGATGAACTTTGGAGTTGGATCTTGGATCAAGTAGTTGAGAAGCTATTTAAACCATGTAGGAAATGTAGGTTCAAATCCCTCTAATGTCATTTGAATACAAATAATTTTAATGAATCACATTTGTCATCTTTAAAAGTAGAGATTTACTTAATACTTGTGAATAAGGTAGCTTATAAGTATTTATACCTTTAGTCAAACCAAGGGCCTAAATACCCATGCTTAATTAAAAATAAAAAGAGACTATCATTATGGTTCTCGCTTTCCATTTGAAGTGCCCAATTCATCAAGGACACTATAAACCTCCTCCAAATCTAGTTCTAGTTGCATTGTACTCGCAGTTGAAAAGATGTAAACCTTTTTCTTGACCTCAATCCTACTCTCACCTGGTATTTTCTTCAAAACTGTTGTCCTTACTGTGATCCTCCGCTTGCTGAGTAAAAATCGGACAATATAGCATGTAACCCTGGAGTCAAGGCTCAAAATTTGGGAGGCAATGAATTTGTTCAGCAACTTCTATGTTTTTGTGCATTTGACATGAGTTTGGAATCACTACAACAATGTAATTATAAAAGTTTGTCAGCCACAAAAATATTGATGTAAATACATGTTTTCTGCATCAATATCATTGATGCAAAAAGGTTTGTCACTAGAAACCTAGAAAACATTAGTGTAAATATTGTTGGTGCAAATAGAATCAAAAGCCTGATATAAACCAATGCAGTGTGGTCAATATTTCAGAGAAGTAGGAAGAATTGTAAGAAGCAATTGTGTGAATAGTTCCTTAATATTTATATCAACAATTGGTTCTTGAGATGAATAGGTTTGAGGCTGAAGAAATAGTTGAGCAGAGTTTGTGCCATCGACAGAGTTGCTCATGTCATCATAACTAGTTTTCTTTTATTTTTATATATATCACTAGTTTGTCGTGCGATTTTCATTTTTGGATTATTAAAATATCTTTTTGAATCATACAACATTTTTTGTTTGTCAATTGCCACACGCTAACATATTTGATATTGAAAATCAAAAAATCATATTTGATATTGCATTTGACCTGATATCTCAATTAGTAAGCTGAATGTTCTTCTTTTCAGTAAAAAGTGTTCAAAACCCCTTTCTCCAATGTTAAGAAAAAAAAAAGATGATTGAGAATGGGAATTGGCTGCATGGTTTCCTTGTGAACATTGGTAAGACCACAAGTTTAGTTGCAGAATTATGGGGATTGAGAGAAGGCCTCAAGCTTTGCCTCTCGCTGGGCATTTCTTGGTTGATAGCAGAAATGGACACTTCAGTGGCAGTAAAGATGATTTTGGATAATGGCAATACTAGAGGGCAAGGAGCTGCTCTCGTTATGGACATTAAAACCATCTCTGGTAGATTTTCTTCCTTTGTCCTTCGCCACACACTTCGTGAAGGAAACACGACAGCTGATTTCTTAGTTTCTTTGGGTCATACGGCTTGTAATGGAATCACCTTTTTGGATTCCCCTCCTGTTGGTTTGCAGTAGATTCTTTTTGGGGATAGAGTGGGAGCTATGTTTCCAAGAGCATATATAGTATGTTTTAATTAGTTCGTTTCTGATGTACCAAAAAAACAAAAGAAAAAACTAAGATAGTTTAATATTTCATCATAGCCATTAATCATATACACTAAGCTTTTGTTTGGGAGTGTTGTGTGTACTTTATAGCGGGGCGCGCTTTTTTTTTTTTTTTTTTGGAGCATGAGGGAATTTTGAGAAATGAAAGATTTTTTTTTTTTCAAATCATTGGTTGGAGTATACATCACAACCAATTAAAACCAAACATTAAGATTTGAGGACAAACCATTGAATTCAAAGATTCGGTTCTTATAATGGATTTAATTAGTACATATATATATGTATAAAATAATAATTGAAAAATCAAGAAAGAATAATAATAAACTTATACTTTTAGATTAAGTGACTTATCAAAAATATTTGTGCAA